CTTTTTTTTTTTTAAAGCCAGTTTCTCACCATGTCACCCAGGGTGGAGTGCTATGGCATTATAGCTCACATAAACTTCAAATTCTTGGGCTCAAGTGACCCGCTTGCCTTAGCCTCCAGAGTAGCTGAGACTATAGTACAGGTACCCGCCACAGTACCCAGCTAGTTTTTCTATATTTTTGGTGGAGATAGGGTCTCACTCTTGCTGGTCTCAAACTCCTGAGGTCAGGCAAACCAACTCCTTTGGCCTCCCAGGGTTCTAGGATTATAGGCAAGAGCCACTGCACCTGACTAAAATTAGGAAATTCTTAAAATATTAAACATTCATTGAATGCCAATACAGCAGAACCTCCATAGCTGACCACCCCCCATACTGATCCCATCTTTAAGCTGATCTAATTTGCATGGACCAGACATGTACCACATATATACATCGATACAGCAGGCTTAGTTCCTTATGTTGGCCAGTTTGTTACAGTTCCTTGGGTAGTCAATTTACAGAGGTTCTACTGTATTAATAGCAGCTTTATTTGTTATATTACAAAATCTAAAATATCCCTAAATGTCCCTAAACAGATGAATACATGAACAGTTAGCTTATACATAGAACAGAATGCTACTCAGCAATAAAAAGAATTACTCAAATAAACATCATTCTTAAATCTCATCTTAAAATAATTATAAAGTAGGAGGGCGCAACAGCTTACATATGTAATCCCAGCACTCGGGAGGTCGAGACAGATGGATCACTTGAGCTCAGGAGTTCAAGACCAGCCTGAGCAAGAGACCCTGTCTCCAAAAAATAGCTGGGCATTGTGGTGGGTGCCTGTAGTCCCAGCTACTTCAGAGGATGAGGCAAGACTATTGCTTGAGCCCAAGAGTTTGAGGTTGCTGTGAGCTATGACACTACCTTACCTACTGGGGGCAAGAAAGTGAGACTCTGATTAAAAAAAAAAAAAAAAGGCAGAAAGGAAATCAGTTTTTGAAAAAAGTATACAGGTTTGGCACCTATAGCTTAGTAGCTAGGGTGCCAGCCACATACAGGCTGGTAGGTTCTTTTTTTTTTTTTTTTGCTGTTTTGGCCGGTGCTGGGTTTGAACCCACCACCTCTGGCATATGGGGCCAGCACCCTACTCCTTTGAGCCACAGGTGCTGCCCCCAGGCTGGTAGGTTCAAACCCAGTCTGAGACTGTCAAATAATAATGATAATTACAACGACAACAATAAAAAATAGCTGGGCTTTGTAGCAGGTGCCTGTAGTCCTAGCTACTTCAGAGGCTGAGCAAGAGAATCACTTAAGCCCGAGAGTTTGAGGTTGCTGTGAGCTGTGATGCCACAGCACTCTACTGAGGTGACATACTGAGACTCTGTCTCAATAAATAAATAAATAAATAAGCAAAAATTTAAAAAGTATACACAATGAGTTAAAATTCTAAAAAATGCAAGTTAATTGACTTTGTAAAAGACATCAGTGATGCCTAGAGAGCTAGGGAAGGCAGGGAGAGAGATTATAAAAGGATGCAAGGTAAATATATATATGGATGACAGATTAAGTTTGTTAATTTTCATGATTAGAAAGGATTTATGGGTTTTTTATTTTATTATTTTTTTGAGACAGAGTCTCACTCTGTAGCCCCAGGTAGAGTGCCAATGGCATCGTAACTCACTTAAACTCCTGTGTTCAAATGATCCTCTTGCCTTAGTCTCCCCATAGCTGGAATTACAGGTACCCACTGAAAATGTGCAGCTATTTTTAGAGACAGAGTCTCACTCTTGCTCAGGCTGCTCTGCGAACTCTTTAGCTCAGTAAATCCACCCAACTTGGCCTCCCAGAATGCTAGGATTACAGGGAAGAACAACCAGGCCAGGTAGATTCATGGCTTTATAAAATTGTAGTGTTTGGATAAGTACATTTAGTTGCATATCAATTATACAAATTATATCTTTCATAAAAGTTTAAAAAGTGATTCCAAATTAAGAGCCTAAGTGTCCCTCTTTTTATGAAAACTCAGGTTGGCGACCTCCCATACTGATCCCATCTTTAAGTGGGTAGACCATAAGGTAGACCTCATATGAACTCTACCATCTCTTTTTTAATGCCCTGGAAGAGGCAACCTTATCACAGTGGCTGCAAATATGGTAAGTAATGAAGGCTGTTGCCACTTCACTCAAAAGGGAATGCTGGTTGAGTCACAAACCACATCCCTGGACTACAGAATCATCCTTCTCTTTTTGTCTTGATTTCCTACATGAACAGCAATGGCTTTGAGGTGAACAGTCCAGAGGATATACAAAGCCACAAAAGCTTTATATTGATTTGACAATGGTTTCAGATGCAGAAAATACAATTACAGAGATCCTGAGAATTTCTGTACACACAGATTCCACACAGCCACACTCCCTGGAACATCAGTGGATGAACTTTTAGAGGAGGTACATTCCATCTGATTTACTGAGTCTCCTTCACTCTCTATTAACACATAGTCTTGCTACCAGTTACAGTTGCACCTGATACATACATATAGTCCAATGATAAATGGCATTAGCCCATACACTTCTCTACTCATGGCATACAGCTTCTTTGCAGGACTTGGGGAGGAGGTCCCCCTCGACAACACTAGGAAGGATATGACATCTCTTGTGAACAAGTGAACAAAATTTATGTTCACAGAAGCAGTGGGTGTCACAGCATCTCCTTTTCAGAGTGACTTCTGAGCTCACAAAAACCACCAGGTCACAAAATAAAAACACAAAGACTTATAGTCTCTATCCTTAGACAGCAATGTAAATTAGACCAATGCTGGACACAGAGCTGTTTTCTGCCATCAAGTTGTCCCTTCTAAAGCACAGAAAATTTGGGATCAATACAAAATCTGTCCGCCCCCTAATGCTCATATCACTATTCTGATTACCACTCATGCTATACAATGAACACAACCCCGACACCTACAATGTTCAAAACATAACACTTAAACAACTTTTAAAAACCTTTATAAAATCATAAGCCACAGAAATGTGCACCACTTTCCAGTATGGTGACTTAGAACCTCGAAAAACTTGACACAAGAATGATGTGAAGGCTGGCTGAAGCAGCTCATGCCTGTAATCCCAGCACTCTGGAAGGCCAAGACAGTAGATTGCTTGAACTCATGAGTTCAAGACCAGCCTGAGCAAGAGCAAGACACTGTCTGTAAGAAACCAGACAGGCTTATGGTGGGTGCCTATACTCCCAGCTACTCGGCAGCTGAAGTAAAGGATCGCTTCAGCCCAAAAGTTTGAGGTTGCTGTGAGCTATGATGCCACAGCACCTACTGGGGGCAACAAAGTCAGACTCTGTCTCCAAAAAAAAAAAAGAATGATGTGAAACAGATAATGTCCCTGAAAAAGGTAATCCCTCTTACCTAGCTGACAGCACAACTCAGATTAAATGCTTTGGATCAAAACTGGGTCAGGTCCATGCTCTAAAGTTAGAGAAAAGCAGGGCGGCACCTGTGGCTCAAAGGAGTGGGGTGCTAGCCCCATATGCCGGAGGTGGCGGGGTTAAACCCAGTCCCAGATGAAAACTGCAAAAAAAAAAAAAAAAAAAAAAAAAAAGAATTAAAGTTAGAGAAGAGCAAAGAGAAAAACCTCTAAAGGACTGGTCTATTCATAATTTCCCCCAGCAAATGGGAGAGTGCAGAGGTTTGCTTCTCTGAGCACATGATGTAGACCTGACAAGTGAAAGATGTAAAATGGTTTCAGCCTCAAAAACTGGCTGAACAGGCTCAGCGCCTGTGGCTCAAGCAGCTAAGGCACTGGCTGTATACACCTGAGCAGGCAGGTTCGAATCCAGCGCAGGCCTGTCAAACAATGACAGCTGCAACCAAAAAATAGCCAGGCATTGTGGCAGGGACCTGTAGTCCCAGCTACTTGGGAGGCAGAGACAAGAGACTCGCTTGAGCCTGGGAGTTGGAGGTTGCTGTGAGCTGTGATGCTACAGAACTCTACCCAGGGTGACAGTTTGAGGCTCTCTCTCAAGAAAAAAATATGGCTGAACAGTTTAGCCAAAGGGGGACATTAGAAATTGCAATTTCAGGGCCAGGTGTGCTGGCTCACGCCTGTAATCCCATCACTCTAGGAGGTAGAGACAGGTGGATCACTTGAGCTCATGAGTTTGAGACCAACCTGAGCAAGAGAGATCCCGTCTAAAAATAGTGGATGTTGTGGTGAGTGCCTTTAGTCCCAGCTACTTGGGAGGCTGAGACAAGAGGATCTCTCAAGCCCAAGAGTTTGAGGTTGCTGTGAGCTATGATGCCATCACACTGTATTGGAAGAAAGACAGTGAGACTCTGTCTTTTTATCTTTTTATTTTTATTTTTTTTGAGACAGAGCCTCAAGCTATCCCCCTGGGTAGAGTGCTGTGGCATCACAGCTCACAGCAACCTCCAACTCCTGGACTCAAGCAAGTCTCCTGACTCAGCCTCCCAAGTAGCTGGGACCACAGGCGTCCGCCACAGTGCCCAGCTATTTTTTGGTTGCAGCCGTCATTGTTGTTTTGGTGGGCCTGGGCTAGATTCAAACCCACCACCTTAGGTGTATGTGGCTGGCACCTTAGCCACTTGAGCCACAGGCGCCAAGCCTATATCATTATTTTTTTTGGAAACAGAGTCTAATTTTGTCGCCCTTGGTAGAGTGCATGGCATCATCACTCACAGCAACCTCAAACTCTTGGGCTCAAGTGATTCTCTTGCCTCAGCCTCCAAAGTAGCTGGGACTACAGGAGCCTCCCGCAATGCCTGGATATTTTTAGAGATAGGCTCTTGCCCTTGCTCAGGCTGGTCTCAAACCTGTGAGCTCAGGCAATCCACCACCTAGGCCTCCCAAGTACTAGGATTACAGGCGTGAGCAACCGAACCTGCCCTGAGACTGTCTTAAAAGAAATAAAATAAATAAAAAAGAAATTGCAATTTCCTCTTTTAGAATTAAAAAAAATTGCAATTAATCACCTCAAAATGTCCTCCATACCTCAAACTTATGAAAAATCCCTCATTGAAGATTTTCATGAAGTTTAAATTTAGATACATGACTTCCATGCATTCTCATCCAGTGCTGTCATATTTAACAGAGTAATAGCACCTTCCCTGCACATTTAAGGTCTTTATTCAGGGTGAACTCTCTGATGTCGAATAAGGTTAGATTTGCGGCTAAAGGATTTCCTACATTCACTGCATTCATAAGGTCTTTCTCCACTGTGAACTCTTTGGTGCTGAATGAGGTCCGATTTGTGGGTAAAGGGTTTTCCACATTCATTGCACTCATAAGGTCTTTCTCCAGTGTGACTTCTCTGGTGCTGAATGAGACTAGAACTTTGGCTAAATGATTTCCCACATTCACTACATTCATAAGGCTTTTCTCCAGTGTGAACTCTCTGGTGCTGAATGAGGCTAGCACTTTGACTAAACGATTTTCCACATTTACTACACTCATAAGGCTTTTCTCCAGTATGAATTCTCCGGTGTTGAATGAGGCCAGACCGTTGTCTAAAAGATTTGCCACATTCACCACACTCATAGGGTCTCATCCCAGTATGAATTCTCCGGTGTTGAATGAGGTCAGATTTGCGGGTAAAAGATTTCCCACAGTCACTGCACTCATAAGGCCTTTCTCCAGTGTGAACTCTTTGGTGTTGAATGAGGATAAATTTACGGCTAAAGGCTTTCTCACATTCACTGCACTCATAAGGCCTATCACCAGTGTGAACCATGCGATGTCGAATAAGGTTAGAGAACTGTCTAAAGGACTTCCTGCATTCACTGCACTCAAAAGGCTTTTCTCCACTGTGAATTCTTTGGTGTTGAATGAGTTCAGATTTGCAGCTAAAGGCTTTCTCACAATCACTGCACTGATAAGGCATTTCTCCAGTATGAACTCTCCTGTGTCGAATGAGATTGAAGATTTGCCGAAAGGATTTCCCACATTCACAGCACTCATAAGGTCTTTCTCCAGTGTGAACTCTTTGGTGTCGAAAGAGGCTAGAGCTTTGTCTAAAGGATTTCCCACATTCACCACACTCATAAGGCCTTTCACCAGTGTGAACTCTCTGGTGTTCAGTAAGGTTAGATTTGTAGCTAAAGGACTTCCTACATTCACCACATTCATAACGCATTGCTCCAGTGTGATGTTGCCTGTGCTGAATGAGGTCAGATTTATTGATAAAGGCTTTCTGACATTCACTGCTCTCGTAAGGCATTTCTCCAGTGTGAATTCGCTTGTGTGCAATAAGGTTGTACTTTTTGCTCAAAGATTTCTCACATTCACTACACTCATATGTCCTTTTACCAGTGTGAATTTGCTGGTGCTGAACAAGTACGTTCTTGAAAGAGAAAGCTTTCTCACATTTACTACAGCTGTAAAGCTCACCTTCAGAGCAGACACTTTGATGTTGAACAAGTGTGTGTTTGTGGCCTGAGGCTTTTGTGCATTCATCCCACTTGTGATAACTTTTGGTGCTGAAAAATGTTTGCACACACTTCCTGCTGCTATTGTGTGGCTCCTCACTGTTGGGAGTAACTGAGTGCTGGAGTGGGCCTATGGTGGCTGGGAAGTCACAGGAGAAAGGATTTGTCCAAACATGAAATCTGGAGCTTGTCACAAACATATCCCTATCCATCTCCCTTTTCCAGGTCTCTTCTCCACTATAACACTTTTGGTATTGGTGAAGGTTTGCACCCAAACAGAAGCCTCTCACACTTGTGCCATCCAGGTATAATCTTTGCACAAGGTGTGTGGTTTCCTGCTCAGCTTGGTACAAGATGTCTTTTGAGACTGGGACACATATCTCACTGAGTTGAGTCTTCTGGGTAGATGGACCCGCCTCAGAAGTGCTGACCTCTGACATTCCATCTATAGATACAGTCTGCACAGAAGTTACTGCCTCATTCTCTGTTCCACAGCAATAACCTGAAATCAGAGAAATGCCAATGAAACGCATGCTCACTGCTGGGAGGGGAAAATATCTATTACAAAAATGTGTGTGACACAAGCAATGAGTCTGTGGGATTGTACTAAAAACAAGAAAACTGGGGCTGATTAAGGAATAGGTTGCTTTGACATACTGAGCCTTTGAAGAACATAATAGGTGAGGCAGTTGAGATTGAAGCAAGGAATAGAATCAGTGTAGAGGCCTTTATGGCACAACTCAAGGCAGCCTCTGGAGGTAGACAACAGCAATCTGGAATAGTACTAAAACCTGTTTGAATTTACAAACATAATTTTGCAAATCTGTGCCTCACCAGACAGAGGACACAAGAATGGGTACAGTACATGAGGAGAAACAGGGTCTCTAGCTCACTCTCTGCCAACAGCCTTCAGAAGGGCCTTTTTTGTTAGTGGCATGCAGAATGTTGCTGGTGTCTAGTCCAGAAAAATCCAATTGGTAGTGAGTAGTTGATCATCAAGGATTATTTAAGGATGTGAGCATACCCCACAACACAGTGAGTCATTCTGAAGAACACTACAGAGTAGTAGAGAGGAACAAGTGATAAATAGAGGCCACAGGGTAGAGGTAAACAGGAGCTGAAAGTGACAGATGAAATGACAAGCTGGCAAAGTATTAAGTATAGGAAAGTGGAAATAAAAAAGAGTTATGGCCAATGTGCCACTGTGCCAAAATACTGGTCAGCACATTGTAGGTTCCTGTTATGATTTAAACACAACCATGATGCCTTGCCTTTCCCCAGCTGCCACTCACCAGGACTAGGCCCCTTCAGAGACCACTTGCCATGTCTACTCTGTAAGGCAACCAGGTCTTTCCTGTAACCACATGGGACATGAATGATGCAAGTCTTAAGGAAAGAGAGGAAAAGTGAGTAACTAATACTGGCTCGGAGCAGAAGGAAAAGTATTACAAAAAAGGAGGGTCTTGCAAAAACAGCCCCTGGTTCATACAGTGACCATGACAATGCTGGCCATTCCTGTCATAGATAGGTGGCCATGAGGAAATGGTAGCTGGAAGAAAGGGGCACAAAATACCACAGAGCTGGACAAAGCCATTCTGATGAGGAAAAGGCAAGAAAGATGAAAGCTATTAAACTTAAAAAAAAAAAAAAACTCCTGAGACAGAGCTAATTCTGGGGTAAAAAAAGAAAGGCAGAGATCACTCAGGACAATGGGAGGGTTGCAAGCACCTTACCCAGGGATGCTATGAGTGCAAAGTTCTCCAGCATGACATTGCAGTACAGGAGCCTCTGAGCCTCATCAAGGAGCATCCACTCTTCCTGGGAGAAACAGACCGCCACATCCTCAAAGGTTATATCCTGTCATAATGGGAATAGTTCAATCCATGATCAGCTTCTCATGATTACATCCCAAGTTCATCATCCCACTTACTCCCATGTTCATTGTCTGGTCATCCTATTCCCCACCTCAGAGGCAATACCCAGCCCCATTGCCACTGATGCCTGCTCTCTCCCCACAGTTCCACTGATACTCTGTCCTTCCACAACAACAGGTAGCTGAATAGACAGACAATATATGAGCTCTGAGCCTGCCATGTAGGCTACCCTGCCTCTTGTCAATGTATGTGTGTGTGTGGGGGGGGGCACGTCACAAACACTGGTCAGGGAAAGAAGCAGCAATAGAGAGGGTGTGATGATCTGACATTGGTCTTATCAGGCAAGACTCCTCAGTTCCCAAAGATTGTTCCTCCAAGAAAAAAGTAACATGGGCTCACCCTTCACCCTTCTGACTCCAATCCACCCATGGGGCCAACAGCACACACTCCCTTTTCTTATGCACATCACTCTGAACCACACCTCTTCTACACAGCTGCATCTCCACAGCCAAAACCTCAAAGGTCACCCAGCTCTGTCATGATAGGAACAGTACATTCTATAATTAGCATCTCTCCTAGGACCCCAAATTCACCCTCCCATGTATCCATCCTCTGGTCACTCTGCTCCCTATCTTCCCAACTCAGAATACACAACAAACCCCAATAATACTGATGCCCACTATCTCCTCACAGCCCCATTCTTCAATGCGTCCCCCTACAGCAACAACAGGCAGTTGGGCAACTATTTAAGCTCTGAGCCTGGTATGCAAGCAACCGCCCTCACTTGTAAGGCAGTTTCCCTGGAATCCCCCAGATCATGAATCCCAGACACCATGCTCTGTGTTCACACCTCACCCTTATGCCCCCAGTGCCAGGGCCCTGGGGCCACCAGTTCTCATTCCTTTTGCATGTGCACATCACTCCACCATGCCTCTCTCACAGCCTCACTACCACAGCCACAGCTCCCTCCCTGCCCCATACCATAGGCATCTCCTTACACACTATTATTCAGCACACAGGGCCCAGAAAGTCATTGGCAAATTCAAACAGGATTTAGTACTATCCCAGACTACTACTGTCTGTACTGCCACAGGCAGCCTTGAGTTGTACCATGAAGGCCTCTACACTGATTCTATTCTTGCTTCAACCTCAAGTACCAAGAACCAGTTGTGGATCTCAGATCCTCATAGCTATCTTCCACTTCTGGGTCACACTTGCTGTCCCCTCACCAGTCACAACCTTCATCTCACCAACCAATCTCATTCAAAGTCCAACCCTAGTGGCTCTTTACCCCAGGCCCAGGATGTCCCATACAGACCCTTAATCTAACCTGAAAGCCTGACAGAAACATCCCAGGTCCCACCAAGAGTTATAACAAAGTTCTGGTGAGTCTATAGAGAAGTGGATAAGCACCAGTCCTAGCATCACCTTGTCTGAATAACTCCTATGCCTCCACTCCATCTCATATTTACTTAAACCCAGAAGCATTGGCCACATGCCAGACCATACTCTCTCTCTGACCCTCCCTATGATATCCACTTCCCACAACCAAGGGTTGTGGTAGAGACCTGATCTTTGGCCATCCCTTCCCCTTTCTGGAAAACTATTATCACTGCCATTCTCTATTAAATGTTGACCTACAGCTCTGCCCTGGTCCACACACTGTCCAGTACTTTTTAGAGAAATGTACATTCTGAACCTCTCCTCACAGTTCTAGACCTATAATTCCAGCTGCCCATAAACATTTCTCTGAAAATTTTCATATTCTTTTTTTTAATTTTTTTGAGACATAGTCTTACCATGTCGCCCTCAGTGGAGTGCTGTGGCATGGCAGCTCACAGCAACCTCAAACTCTTGGGCTTAAGCGATTGTCCTGCCTCAGCCTCCCAAGTAGCTGGGACTACAGGCCCCTGCCACAACGCCCAGCTATTTTTTGTTGCAGTTGTCATTGTTATTTAGCAGGCCTGGGCTGGGTTTGAACCCACCAGCCTCAGTGCATGTGGCCAGCACGGTAACTACTGTGCTATGGGCACAGAGCCAAAATTCTCATATTCTTAATAGGCCAACAATGCAACTTCTGATATTCCCATTAAAATTATGCCTACTATGGATATCGTCATCCCAGCTAATGGAGCTTCCATTCGTACAGCTGCCAAAATCAAACCTTCGTGTCATCCCTGACTCTTTCTCTCCCACATCCTCAAAATTAGAAAATTCAGGTAGCCCTAGGAAAACCCAACCCAGAATTCAATCCCTTCTCCCATCTCCACACCCACCACACTGGCCCAGCTACTATCACATTCACCTGGACTTTACCAGTAGCCTCCTCTCTGGTCTTCCAACCATGTCCCTCACCTCCCATGCTGCAGCCACAGGGAGGCTGATCACATTTGGGTCAGTGCAACTTTTTCCTCCACTCCAAACCTCCCACTGTTATTGTTACACAAAGAATGGCCACTCAGGGCAGTGCCTGTGGCTCAGTGAGTAGAGCGCTGGCCCCATATACAGAGGGTGGTGGGTTTAAACTCGGCCCTAGCTCAACTACAACAAAAAAATAGCTGGACTTTGTGGCGGATGCCTATAGTCCCAGCTACTCAGGAGGCTAGGCAAGAGAATTGCCTAAGCCCAGGAGTTGGAGGTTGCTATGAGCAGTGTGATGCCACAGCACTCTACGGAGGGCAATAAAGTGAGACTAAAAAAAAAGAAAGAATGGCCACTCAACTCCTTAACAAGCCATTTCAGGTCCCACTTCTCCCTGTTGTCAGAACAAAGGAGACGTGTAGGCTCCTGAACCAGCTCTGCCTCCTTTCCTAGCCTTTGCATATACATTTTGGTAACTATGCCTGGGAGGACATTCTACATCTCATTTACACTGATTGCCAACAGCATCATATAACCCTTGGTCTGGACTTAGGACCCTGATTTAATACTTTTTTGAGGTCCCAAGGGCCAAGGGTAGAAAAGTGTCCGGAGAACAATTCTGAGGACATCAGTAACCCAGAGAACACATGAGTGGGTTGAGGACTAGTGACCCTCACCAGTTCTGGCTTCCTAAGTGATTCTACAGTGATGGGAATCTGTAGAAAGGAGGAAGCCATGAGAGTCAAACAATCATAGCCAGGTTCCACAGGTTCAGCTCAACCAGTGCCCATGCCCACCTCGGAAGCCAGGTGGCCTGGGAAGGCTGCATTGTCTCTGGGCCACCTCTTACCAGCCCTTTAAGCCTGAACAAGAGCTGGACGTTACCATGCCTATTGCCATCTCTCTTTCAGTCAGTTCTGCCCCTGAGGCACTTCCGTAAACCTTTTAGAACCCCATCTATTCAGAAATCTCCCAGCCTTCCAGTACCCTCAGAACGAAGGTCAAATTCCTCAGGTGCAACTCTACCTCACTTCCCATTCCTGCAAACACAAGACCGACCCCGGGTTCCCCAATCATGCTGGCTCAGTCGCACCACCCAAGCCTTTGCACAGGCGGGTCCCCTGCCTCTCACATTCTCCCACAGCCGGTCACACCAGGTGTCAGAAATACGGTCCCCGCGAGCGCCTCACTGTCCCAGACACCGGGGCCTGGGCTACAGGACGTGAGCAGGCGCCCTCACTCGGGGCTTCGGGACTTGGGTGGGTGAGGACCGGCGAGGCCCAGAGGACGCGTCTCTTACCTGAGCCTGGTCCCTCAGTGCGGCCGCCGCCATCGGACTCTGAGGGCGGAGCGCGGACCGGACACAGCGGTTCCTACCCCAGGCCGAGCCGGGTCGCAGACTCTGAGATCTGCCTCTCGCGCCTTCTCTGTCCAGTCACTCTGGTCCGGACTCAGCGCTCCGGAGACCAGAAAACTGAGCAGACGTGAGAGAAGCCAAAGTGACCGCCACGAGGAACCACCACCAAGTCCTACCCCATCGCGATGAGCATTCTCGGAAGTGTCCCTGTCCTGAGCTTTCATTGGTTCAAGTCGGCCACCATTTGGCACATTGCACTCGGGGTAGTGTAGTTTCCGAAACTGCATAGGCCACGTTGGAGTTTGGCCAGCCTCGACCTCTGGTGAGGGTAGGTGAGGAGGAGCGGTGCACCAAGCAATCAATTGGCTACTTCACGTCCTGGAGAGAGGGAGGGTCTCACCCCTCCTTAAAGGGACAGTTTCCAGATTTCTGGGGAGTGTAGTCTGTAGCTGATCACCAAAGTATTAGACTCATTAGAGACATTGTAGACTCTCTAAAGCTCCCAGCATGCTCCCAGAAGCCACAACTATTATTTCAGATGATCTCAAAGGGTGCACATCTAAATGTGCACATCATTTCATAGAGATGCACGGGCACAAAACGTGTCCACTTTTTTTTTTTCTTGAGACAGAGCCTCACGCTGTCCCCCTGGGTAGAGTGCTTGACATCACAGCTCACAGCAACCTCCAACTCCTGGGCTCAAGC